TTGCATCTTTTTTATGTATAGAAGTTACCAATGCCTTGGACCAATCAGATGGCATTAAGCCTTTGTCATAAGATTGTTGAATTGTGGAACATAGCCGAAGTGCAATGGCCGGCGCAAGCTCTTTAAGAACTCTTGTCGGTTACTCGTCAGGGCCACATGCTTTGATAGAATTTAATTGTTTAAGTACTCCTTGACAGAAATTTTGAGGTCAGAGATAAAATTATGTTGTGAATTTCCTTTGAACGGTGCTGGTAGTTCTTCTTTGAAGAAACTATAAAAACATGAATTTAGCGCCTCAGCCTTGTCTTTATCAGTGGAGCACAGCTTACTGTCAGATCGTAAGGGAGGGATGCCATTGTCCTCCGATTTACAGTTACGAATGTGCGACCAAAATTTCTTCGGGTTTTCATCTAGGCAAGGACCAATCACATTATTTAAATAGTTGCTGTGAGATTCTTTAACAAGTCTTGATACTAAGTTTCTGTCTCTTTTAAATTCCTCCCAATGTTTAGGTTTGCGAGTGCGTAGAGCTTTCTGATGTAAGCGGTCTTTCTTTCTTATGTGGCGTTTGATCCCAGCATTAATCCAGGATAGCTTGTATTTACTACAAGAACTTCTTTGTGGAATGTAATAATTTATGGCCTTGGCTAAAGTGGATTTGAAGGTTGACTAATTCTCTTCCACAAAAAAATTACCGGGATTGAATGCAAAGAATTCCTCAGAAGAGTGAAGCATAGATTCGTTTAGCTCATCAAAATTCGCCCTTTTGTAGACGTAGTCTCCTCTGGAACATGACGCACCAGTGTGCATGCTATTGAGCATGGATTTGCAGTGTGAAGAGTGGGCACTTCCACAGCCAGTCGTCAACTATAAAGTAGTTCAGGCGTTCCTTTGTCGCCTTGTCCGCGCTGATCTAGATAGGCATGGAAGAAGGAAAGAGGCAGATAAGCAATAGTTCTCTCTAAACTCTCCATAAATTACGACCTTAAAATCATCGTTAACAAGATCTTTGATATTTTGTACACCAGCTTCTGCCCAATGCTTATAAAAAAAGGCCTATTAGCAATTCTGACTGATGAGGTATTCCATGTTATACAATTACTACAAAAGTCGTGTTTGGACAAGAAAGATTCTCTAAAATTAAAGTCCACCCAGATTTCGATAAGTTCTCGGAGGAAATCCTCCTTGATATCATATTGGTGGCGTCTTTTTTTTTCCAAGTTTCCAAGCAAAACTAATTTTCCTCCCCATTTTGAAAGAAAGAAATCCCCCACATTTTTCCATTTGGATTTACAATCATCAGAAATATACTTTACTATCCACGCGATCCTTAAAGACTAATTGAATTTCATGATGTCCAACATTTTTTGACCACCATCGCCATAGTCAGCAATCATTTCACTCATTACAGACCGTTTGATTTTTTCCCTTTTTCCATCTCAGAGAAATTTGAAAAGCAAATCATTTATTTTTTAAACGATTTAAAACATGTACGTAATGAGGACAAAATGTAGACCAATTGGGATGCAGCCAACGTCTTTATAACTGTAATCTTTCCAGGAAGCGTTAATCTCTTGTTTTGCCAATTGTTAAGAATATCTTCAATTTTGTGAACCTTGTCTTCATAGTTAGTATTCATTTATTCATTTTGGTCCGTACAAAACCAAACACTTAAGGCCTTGACTTTACTATCCGCCCATTTCAAGTTTTTTTCAGGGCGCATAGTTTGATTTGACCCTTTCTTTGATCCTCTACAGAGAACTTCGGTTTTTCTACAGTTAACTCGCAGGCCAGACAGTTGACCGAAACTGTCTAACAAAGCAAAAGACTTCTCAAGTGACGCTTGTGAACTATCTAATATCATCGTGGTGTCGTCCGCATACTGACTTAATTTACGCTCTACATTTCCCACAGAGATTCCTTTTATCTCATTGTCTCAACGAATAGCTGTAGCTAACACCTCAACACAGAGAATAAATAGGTAAGGCGAGAGCGGGCAGCCCTGCCTTACACCTCTATCTAAGCTAAAGAAACTCCCCGACCATCCATTATTTATTATACAGCTTTGATATCAGAGTAAAATAAATTAATCCAATTAATTAAAGAGGAACCGAAACCAAAATGCTCTAGCGTTTTCCGCAAGAAAGTCCATTCAATAGTATCGAATGCTTTTCCGAAGTCGATGAACAGGAGTAATCCAGGAATATCCTTCAAGTGGGTCTAGGAAATAACATTATTGATCAAAGAAATATTTTCTGCAGTAAAACGGCCTTTCAGAAAACCGGTGTGATCGTGATCTATTAGATCCGACAACACAAACTTGAGACGAGAAAAGATCGCTTTTGATACAATTTTGTAATCACAGTTAAGAGGGGTTATGGGCCTCCAATTCTTCAATTCGTTCAATGCTTTGTCTTTTTTCGGGATCAAAGAAATGATACCCCTCCTCTGAGTTATGGCTAGTTTTCCTTTTTGATAATTTCTATTAAGGGAACTTATAAGAAAACTTCAAAGTTGCTGTCTGAAGAAATCCATGAAGTGAACACTTCGGCACCATCATCCTTGTGTTGCGTACTTTCAAACAGTGGGTATTTTCGACCTGCTAAGGGAAAGTTTTTCGAATTTTTCTTCACCATCTTTAGATCTTTAGAGATCTTACTGATGTGTTCCCTCCAGGCAGAGTTGCAGGCCTTTTTTATGGAGTTATTTATCTTGCGGCAGGCCCGATCCTTTTGCTTTCCTTTAGAGTTTCCTATTTTCTTACATGACTTAGGTAAATCGTGAGTGACCCATGGAGCATGTTTTCTCGTTTTTAGCTGGCGCTCCGCGATACACTCTTCTATTGCTGTAAATAATAAGCGAAACCATGCAGTCCAGTGGCTATCGATATCATCTCCCAAGAACGCACAATGCCAAGTATACAGTGCACTAACAAACATAGAGAAGACCAGTCTGCTTTGGAATAAAGATCAGTCAGTTTGATGGTCTTGTGCGGTTTATTAAGTATGGTCAGGGAAAAAAAAGTGTTAATGTTAGGTCGGTGAAAGGCTCTCCGACGATCAGGTTGTTTACAGTGTCTGCAGAAGACACAAGAAGTCGGAGATGTTTTTTTAATGTCATTGGTCGCCTTCGCTGTGCCCACTCTTATCTTTATCCATTTTATTTAAACTTTGTATTTTCCATACATTTTTCCACGGAAAGTTGGTGACAACTAATTGTTGTATTTCTACATCAACTTTCGGAATAAATTTCAATTTACCGCGAATGCTGCAGAAAAAAATCCGGACCATACGCCCATTCCATAAATTTTTGGAGGATCTCGCTGCCGAGCAGCGAAAAAACGAGGCTAGTCGTTCCTCAGCTCGTGAAGTTTTGTGCTAGTTTAGAGTGTTAACGTCGAGTTTTTTACGGCAATACCTTCATTCTGCTGTGTGCCTGAATGCAATTAAAATGTTACAAAGATAATGGATAACAACGAGAAGATTGATTTTGATTGTCCTACCAATAACACGAGACATGAGCGATGGCTGCTTGCGCTAAGATGAGATGAAGGAAAGTACTTCCGCGTGACAAAGAAGAGCAAGGTCTGCTTTCGACATTGTAGGCCAAGTCATTTGAGAAATTCATGCAACGGTAGGGTGTATTTGAAGGATAATGCAGTACATTCGAAGCTCTAATAGTGTCCGAAATCGCCAAGAAAATCGTGACGGAAGGCTCCAGCGGTGCGAGTTCCCTATCAGGCTACAGAAAAATCAAAGAAGACGAAGTCCTCCACGAGCGCCAAGATATGGTGCTCTTCAGATTCAGTGGAAGGAATTGTGACCTTGCGAAGGCAAATGCAAATGAGCTGAAGCAGAATTCCTTGGTAGAAAAGCTGAACGAACAGATAGAGCCTGAAGACCTTAAGTGTCAACTTTTAAGCACAGAAAAAGAGATCCATGGTGCCGAGAAACGAAGAAATGCGCTAGAAAATGAAGGCACTGGACTTCTTGAAAAGTTAAAAGCCGCGGAGAAAAAACTCTAAGGTATGACCAAACGTGTGTTTGATTTAGAACAATTTTAAAGTTAAATATTTCACTTTGACGAAAATATTTTGTTCTATGCAGATTTTCCTAAATATGCTACCTTTGTACCTACTTATGAATTCCTCAACCCAGGTGATGATTCAGAAAACATTAGATATGGCTTTTCTTCTGAACGAGCTATACATTTCATATGGATAGATAGATATATATTGAAAATAGCGCTTTGCAGCTGAAAAGCTGAATTCCTTGTATCCAAAAAGGGTATGATAAATAAATAGATCATATCATCTCTCAAAGAAGATCAGAGAATATATGCTATGAATGCAAGTGAAATGTATTCCAAGCCTGAATACAAACACCGATAACTTATGATATGCTTTCAAGGGTTGCATTAATTATGCTTACTCAAATTTTACTGATTAGAGGGCACATTTGGATTTGTTATTGTTGTTGTCATGCTAATTTTCGAAAAAAGAGTTCCTTTGGTGTTTGATGTTTCAAATTCTCTGAAGGAACATCAAAACAATTGCATGGCAGACAGTAGCGAGAATTTCAAATGAGATCTTGGGAGTGAAAGGATTAAATGAGGAACGGATTCACTTTTCCTTATTAATAACAATAACTTGTTCCATAAGCATGCAACTTAAAAACGAATACCAAAATAGATTCGTTTCTGCAAAGATACTCTTCACACTTTTTTTTACATAAAAAGCTATACCTCGTGGCTTATCTCGATTCAAGGATAATACTAGTCTAACTAGAAACCCTGGAAAGTCTAAAAACTCCTAGAAGGGTCAAAAAGTATAATAAAGTAAAATTAAGTAGTTGTTGACATAACCAGTTAACTTACAGCAACTGGTCAGAGAGCATTTAACAATATATTACAGAAAACAAAATATTTCATTTTGTACTTTAAAGACGTTTCTAGATGAAACCGTCCATCAATAGTAACACACAGTGATGAAGATCGTTAGTTAACGATGGGCTGTTCATGGGAGAAGAGAAACGACGTGTGATTTTACGTAATGTTTATTCCTCATAACCAGGAGACTGTCTTGCCTCCACCCCTCCCACTTCTTTTCCACCACTCACAAGAATTCACGATTATCGTGATTTTCTCACTTCATAAGTGCTCAAAAAAGAATGTAGTCTATTGGAATGAAACCTATGTTAAAACAACCTGCCGCTTCCCCTTAAAATTTTTGTAAGTCGCGTTCATCTTTACCTCTGAACATGAAAGCATAATATGAGACAGCCATGATATAAGAAAGTGGCCCTAATGGTCGTTTCATCAATGAAATAATAGAAAGAGCGGAACTATCGTCACATCAAAGAATTGGTGAACAGAAAGGGAATCGTTTTCAGGCTCTATAAACTTCTGTAAACTGTTGTTGAAATGTTCTTGTTCTTTTTTTTCTTTTGTAGAGTGTCTTTCTTCAGCTCACCAAGAACCTTGATTACGCGTTAACCTTTTATGAAGCGACTTCTGTCGTTTGAGAATAGGGTGTCGCTCAAAACTGTAGTTTTTGAGAAAATCTGTTTGGACACCGGCAAGCTGCTGCTCCAAGTTACTTTTAAGGACTTCACAAGCTTGGTGACTTGCTTCAAAATATTTATGTGCTTCGTTCTTGCCAGTGTTACTTTTGTGCTCGAAATCCAAATGTAGAGAACACTTCTTTTGCAAAGTGACTGCAATCACTGGATGGTCGTCACCAAAAGTATTTTGATAAATATTCTCAGCTGTTTCCAAAGACTCCTTTGATCTATTAGCCAGATTTCTGCCTCTTTCAGCATCACTCTTTACCAATAAAAAATCTGCCTTCAAATAATCGCAATACCGCGGGAGAATGTTTAGAGCTGAACGAATGTCGTCATACGCGCTGCAGTAATTTCCCATTAGCATGCTTAAGCGCGCTTTTTCCTTCTTTGTTAATGCGATTTGTTGTTCAAATCGAAATGGATAGCTCAAAATTTCTTCTGCTCGGAGTAAATCCTTGTTTGCCTGCGAAAGTATTTCTTGGACGCCCACCTCGTCCAAAGGCCAGCGGAATTCGTAGCTGTCTAAAATAATTTCGGTTTTCTTCCTGAGAAGTACGGCAAATTCGGAGTGGGACCTAATTTCTTGGCCCTCGGGAAAATCAAGTTCTGCCTCTTTGAAATATTTTTCAGCATTGTCACACAAACCAAGCTTGGAGCAAGCGTGAGCCACCCGAACTGTACCCATCCGCACCTGAAATAAACAATACACCAGACTTGTTGTGTCGCCTATCAATTTTAACACGAAGTCACCATAATTTTTATCTTGATGTTGTTACCCTACTTGGAGAAAAGGCGTTTAGTTACCTGCTTATCGAAATCATAGGTGGAATCAAAATTTCGTCCTTGCAATTAGAAGCCCCGGATAGTTGGGGAAAGGGGTACAAAATACCAGGGTGTTCCCTTCATTACGGTTGAGTTGAAATCTGTTTGCAAAGGAGTGGAGAGAAACTGGACACATGTGTTACGACATAAGTCCTAATCGAATTCTGTGAATAACCTAAATTTGTCTCAAAACACAGCACAGATCTGAAATTGCAAAATCCGCTTACTTGTTAACGTAAGGGTGTGAAGGTAATTTGAAAAAATATTAAACTTTCGGGATCATGTTATGAAGAGGCGATCATCGAAACAATTCGTGGAATGACGAGTTTAATTAAACTTTCCAGTTAAATTTGCTGGTGTGTGGCCCTTATGCCTCTGTATGTACTCGTTACCTTGGAAAGAATTGCATTTTTCAGGATATTTAGTACGAGGTGGAATCAGGTGTTCGTTTTATTTTGTTTCTCCTCGCTAGGGCTAAATATTATCATTTCCTTAGTATTTAATCCGAGGCTCTATCTTTAAGTGGAACTGTATTTCTGAAAATCTATTTTTTTCCTAACATAAAGAGTTTTCATTTTTGTAAGGGAAACGAATCATTGTCACGAGTTTGAAGAACTTGGTTCCCCCATTGTGTGTCAAGGCATCAAATATGTTCAATTTTCGTTCATGTTTTGATTCTAATGTTTATCGATATTTATTAATATCTCTTGTTACACTGGCTTGAAAGCCCAACTTACAGTCTTAATTAGAAATTCGTGGTGCTGTGGCTATTTTCTCTTAGTGCCGCGATCAACTTCGGCCAAATGTCTTTTTGATCTTTTAATTTCAGGAAATCTGTAAGGCTTCGACATCTTCATTTTTTTTTCTTCAGTTTTTACGCAATACTGCTTCAGCCATAGTGAAGAGAAACTTTTTGTTGGCTTAAATAGATCAATGCGTCTGACAGTCTTAATAGAGTGATTTAGCAGGCGGACAGGAACGTCATTTCAGAATGGGAAAGGGCGCGGATAGTCTAGACACAACTCTATTCCGACTTCCGGTGTTGGCGTTGCCGTTCTCCCTAACAAGTTCAGGTCGTTATTTCGTCGGTTTTCCCGTCGCGATCAAAACGCCTGGGATCAGCGTAAATTGTGCACTTACGACCGAGATGATGCTGTTTGGAATGATTTCAGAACTAATTTCTAGGATAAACAGGTCCCTTTCTTTGTCTTTTTCGGTGTATTTGTGAAAATTTACCGCTACATTTATGCTGGATTCCCGAAAGGAAGCACGATCGTTAGGAAGCGATCCAAGATTTCAGGGCTCAGTTCGCTTTTAATAAAGCAAGGCTTTAAACAACCTAAGGGCTTTTCTTTGATACATTTCCCTGTATGAAAACTCTAATAATGGGATACTGTTAATTTTATCGTGAATTAATTCATCAATAAACTTACTTCAGGTTTATCAAAATGAAATATCACGAAGCTTACCTGCTGCATTATTCAGTGTTATTTGTTGTCATTGTCGTTTTTACCGTGATGAAAAAATGTTTTGCAAATTGAAGTCAAAAAAGAAAACTAACAATCAAGTTGATTTCGGCACAGCTGTCTTAATCTATTGATTTGATTCAGTCTTTGACGACTTTGATCGTTCTTTGATTGTTTAATAAAATCAAACAACGACAAAAAGGAAAACAGGAACGAAGTCTTATTCTTAAGTCTAACCGTTTCGTTGGTAACTGGTTTGAGTTCATTTCATTCTTTCATGGTTCAACAGGAACTCATCTTAAACAACTCCATCGTTGGGTCGCTTGGTTTCTACATGGTTTCGCCATAATTCATGGTTTCGCCATAACTCCTTAACCCAGTTTCTTACCAGTATTTTTGCTGCGCGCGCCGTTATCAAGTGACGTTCCCGTCCCATTGCTAAATCACTCTCATTGTCAATAGACAACGGCTTTCATACAGTATAATAAGCTGAATTCGACATGCAGGAGGACAGACACATAGATGACCGCATCATTCTCAATAGTTTGCTTTCTATCACGTAAAACAAATAGATTCCATATTGCCGCGGGTCTGTACAGGAACAGTTCATTAAAAGACGTCAAAATGTGGCGAGAACATTAGTGACACAGTCGGCTTCGCCTTGTTTGCCACTGTTTTTTTCTTACCACATTATGAACGTCAGCTGTGATCTATTACTGAACAGAGGCACAGCAACATGAAACTTATTTGTTAAAATTGAGCAAGTAATACTGCGAAAAAATTGCTGAAAAAGGTTCCTTTACCCATAACCGGCGGTACAATTCAAGAAAAATCGACAAATTGTTCGAAAGGCCTACTATTGATGCATATCGTAAGATAAGTTTTCGTATTTAATATTCCTAGACATGCGCAAAAGTTTTGACTCCTTAATTACCGTATTCCTGAGAAGAGCTCCTTCCAAACAAAAAGGAAAATTCACGGGCCGTTGTACTTCTACGTATCATAAAAATCTAACTCACCAACTATGCAATGTATTCTGGCTTACCTCTCTGTGTTCCATGGTATCTCCATGCGTTTGTTTGTAGATTTGGAGAGCACGGTCTGCTAAATCTGCGCTTTTGACGGTTTCCCCGAGGATTAAGCAGACCTTGCTTAACCTCTTTAGAGAATTAGCTCTCTCTTAAGGGAAAGAAAACAGCTGTAAGCGTTTATATGTGATCTTTGATTTTGGAGTCTACTAAACATTGATCGAAATTATTACGATCGTTGGGAAATCTCTCGCTATCGCAGTATTTTGCGGGTCAGAAGACCCTGATTTTAATTTGTAAGAAAAATAATTGCACCGGAGACTAAAGAGGCGAGATCCTGGGGGCTTCCTCACATATCCTCGGTTTAGCATCTTATCTGGGTCGAATCTAATCCTGATTGAAGGGAAACTTCTCTCCTGTCAATCTTTTTTAATGATTGTTTACACAAAAAATCCGTCAGATTATAAAAGAAAAAAAAATCCTCTCATTCGTCATCTTTAAGTATGAAAGATACCCTAAACTCAAACCATTTCTACGATTCAAGAGTAAGTTTCGAGCCGTTTATGCAATTCAAAATAACAATGCTGCCTATTACCTGGGTGAGAGCGAGAGTAATGGTCCATACCCTTTAAAGCGTTTAGTAGCTCTTTTTTGGCTTGTTGAACCATTCCCATCTGTAGGTAGCCATACGATAAGTAATTACAGTTGGCGGCCACAATGCGATGGATACTACCATGGATCTCCTTGTTGATATCTAAGGCCTCTGTAAGACTTTTTACTGCATCGTCTACATCTCCCACATCACTCAGCGCATGTCCAAGATTTAACAATGCTGTAGCTCTAGCTGTAACAAAAAAAGATCTTCTCGAGTTCAAAACTTCTCAAGGATTAAAGTAACTAATGTAATGAATAGTTCAACCTCTTCGTTTTATTAATAACAAAACGATTACATTGTGGAGAATACCATGGAAATTAACAACGACTTACCGGGATGACTTTTTGTGCCATAATGTTCATCTACAATTTTTTTAGCTTTCGACGCAAACAGGAAACTTCTTTTAAAATCCCCTTTGTCACGGTATACTACACTCAGCTTTGATAAAATAACAGCACTGTAAATGTTGTTGTCTCCAAACTTTTCAAGTGCTATTTCCAATGAAGCAATGCTTTCATCTAGTTTGTCCATATTTCGTTGCACAGAGGCCAAACGGCTGAGTGTCACGCCAATCTGAAAGGTAAGGTTTTTAGGTTGAGACCATTTAGTCACTTGATTTGTTCAGGCCAGATAATCGCAACCAGTTCGATTTATCCTCATCGATTATGTTTGAAACAGCAGTGAATTAGAAAAATCTGATGAAAATAAACCACGTGGTTTAAGGTGGCCGTTGACATATTATTCTTTTGATTTTTTTACTCTTCCCGTTATACTCTTATCTCTTAACGCCATTTTATTCTGATATCACTCAAAGGTTGCGCCTTTCAAAATTTCTTCGATAGATACATGCAAAAAATATTGCAAGTTCTCTCGCAAGTTCTCTCGCAATAGAGATTTCTTCGGGATACAGGTTTCTTGCCCTCTAAACGACTGCAGTGAGAAGAATTAGACAAGATAATACTTGTTTACTAGAAGCATACTTCAAAAGCTCGAAAAACATGAAAAACAAACTTCCCAATTCCCGTGGAAAACATGATTTAGAGTTCAGTTTGTGTATTACGAGTCTTGTATGAAATATTCGTGAATTGTTTCCTAAGTTGATAGGCTCTCCATTCTCTTTTTCAATTTATTTGTCCCTGTTCATATTGTAAAATTTGTATACGCGAAGCTATTTACCAAAGTTTCGTTTCGATCGTCGTCATTCTTTCCCACCACAATTTACATCATGAGTAAGCCGCAACTCTTTCATGAAATTCTCTTAAGCTGAGCCACTGTACTTGTACTATCTACTCTATTTTGTGCCTTTTACAGACCCGTGGGAGTTGGTAACTCCATTCTAATAGTCTTGCCATTCTATCGCGGACTGTTTCACAGGTAGTTGCGGGTACCGGTGCCCATCCTTGTTCTAGCTGCTCACTTAGTTGCATTCACTGCGCATTCACTGCCGCCTTCGTAGCTTGGTGAGGGAAGCTAGTCCGTCTTTTTAAGATGATATCAATGAAGGATACTAACAAAGCCTCCCGAGGTAAGCTGTTGCAAAATGTGCCTTTTCGAGCATTCCTTTTGATCATATGTTACCAGAGACCAACCAGTGAAAAGATATGAAAACATAAGGTTTTAAAGAGGCTAATAATGAGAAATGTGATAAGTTATTTACCCAATCTTAGGGGATCTAAATCGACATCTTTATCGAAGAGCGGTTTTCTACTGGTGTTGGAGGCACGTTTTACGTTGAGGAAAAAGAAAACCTAGTATCATTCTGTAAGTCAAGATTTCTTGATTGTACGATCTCGCAAAGGATCTTCCAACGCTCAATATTTCAAACAAGTTTACCACTGAAAATTAATCGGACTCCGTTGATATGCACATTTGAAAACTAAAGCAAATTAATCGGCGGTTACTCTGTCAACATCGTATTCATCGGTTTTTTGGTACATTCAACCTCATATTTAGAGGCGGATTCAGAAGCGTTTAATTACGACATATGGGCCATGAAGTAAACATAGGGAATACGCCCACTTAGTAGTAATTATCGTCTCTGAAAGTCTTCAACTCCATTGATCGTTAAGTTTTCCTCATTTTGTTAGGAAGAAAAGAAATAGAGATCCTTTGTACGTGCGCAACGAATCACTGAATAACAATAAAAAATGATAGTTAAATTCTATATTCTATATATTACATTTAAAAAAAAATTGGAAGAAACTGGTTTATTAGTTGAGGAGATTAGCATGTTTAGCGGCTTTAGTTTGGCTAAGTAGGAGGCGCTTAACCTCTGCTACAAACGCCATGGTTCACTATGTTTCTAAGATCCCTCAACAAGAGCTTATGGTAAAGAGTCACAGCATTATCCTGATACCTATTTGTCATTGTCAATCTCAACAGAGCCCGCCACATCACCAACGCCTTGGCAGTCATCTGAAGGTACGACTTCAAGTAGTCATCCCACCTCCCAAGCTCTAATTCGAGCAAATGCGTCTCAGAAAATAGATCACTTAAAGAAATGGAGTATTTCAACCTATGAATTTGCCAGGCAGTATCTTTCTGAACGTTTTGTTAAAGGCACAAGGACTGTGGACAAAGAACTTGAAGGACAAATTCTTCTGGTAAAACACGAGTAAAGCAAGTTAATGTTCTTAAACTAACAAAACATATGACGAACCATCTACAGAATATAGTTCAAAGTCAAAGAGGTCTTGCCGACGCCTTTGCAGATTTAGGGATAAAATCTCCATAATTTCAGGCTGACTTTAACTACAATGCTGAATACCAAAGATTACTGGTTAAAAATGGGGAAGTTCTTCTTGGAGCACTTAAGTTTTTTACATCTAACTTGACGACTCTGGTGCACAAGACCATAGAGGATTCCATTTTGTGTGAGCAATTTATATATCAGCTGTTTAAAAACTGATGTGGCTATATCCGAGATAAAATGTTAGTCTTGCTTGGGGGGGGGGGGTATCTTGGGTCAGTGACATAGTTATCTAGGAGAAGTCATCGTAGGTTTAAGTATCAATGTTTCATTAATATGAGCAAACAATTGTTGTGAGGAATGTCCTTTCAGACGTTGCATGTAGGCACCTTAGACGCCTATTCCACGCAATGCGCCCGAGTAGGAAGTTTGATCAGTTTTGCTATCTGTTTCTTTAATCTACTTCCTCAACAAGTGAAAGTTATGCATAAACATTTGTTACTCTTTCAAAATGCAACCACAGCTTACTTTGCTGGAAACAAAGAGGTCCTAAATGACAGTATGAAGAAATTATATACCAAATACAAGAACAACGATGGCAAACAGCCATTTATCCTGGAACATTTAAGGCATGCCACTAGAGCCAGAATCGAATTAGGAGCATTGTTGCGCTCTTTTTATCACATTGCCGGAAAGTTTATATATTGGCAAAATCAGTATTATTTTGGAGGATGAGTGCAGACAACTATCTTACATCTTAGATTGGGAGGAGGTGGAACAATCCTCATTCACAACAAGTTATGTTGGAATAACAATTTATCATACGTCTGTAAGTCGAGATCCATTTAGTCTCCCAAAACGTGAAGCTTGAAGACGTAATAATCTGGCGTAAAAATATAGTATTAAAGGTTATTCTAGTGTTGTGTCCCTGTATAAAAAAGAATCATAGCGTGTAATTAACCTGTGGGGCTTCAAGAATGAAATGAAACACCGAGTCTTTGCAAGAATTTCCAGGCAGAATTCATCTGTTCCACCGGTTCATGAATGTTCTAAGATCCGGAACATATGAGCTACCGGATGATATTATGAATGTCATCTGCAGACATATGGATCAGACTGGAGCCTAAAAAGTAATAATGTTAGGGAAGAGAAATTGTGACGAGGCTGAAAACAAGCTTAAAATAGAACGTAAAGGTAAAATTATCGCTGTGATCTCTAAGTATAACATTACCCTTAGTTCGCTTGGAGATTCGACGGATTTAAAGATTTCGAGAGCCATCTTTAAGTAGTCTTCTGCTTCAGCATACTGACCAAGGTAGCGGTACGAAGATCCTAATGCACTCAGGGTGAAACCATATTCCTTTTTGAAGTTTTCTTTATCGAAATAAATCTTCAAGGCTCTTTGGATGAAGTTACTAAAACAAAAGTGAATCTTTTTGATACATGGGAAAGAATTACCCTCGAATATTAATCTAAAACTTAATCTCATCATATATGTCAAACCCCTCACAGATCTCCCGGACCAGCCAGTGGTATTCTTAGTGCCCTGCTTGTCATCACAAGCTATGCATTCTACCCACACAGGCACATTCTATAAAATATTTAAACAGGGAGAAGAATAGATTTTCTCTAGAATTGATGAAGTTTTAGGTTTTCATTGTGGCTAACTGAAGTTGATAAACAAGGCAATTACTATCAAGAATGAAATTGTTTCATTTCTGTTCAAGGAGTTTGAGTTTTTGAGTGATATATCCTCAGCTGCAGCGTCAGAAGGGAATCCTCAAACTGGCCTCTTACGGCTTTGAAGAGAAAATTTAAAGATTTAGATACCAGGAACTTTTTTTTTTAATTTTAAAGATTGCTTACATTTTGTCGTTGCTGTCATTTGTTGTCATTGAAGTTTTTTATAAAAGTGGATCGGAATGTCTCGTTATGATCATTTTATTGTGAACGTGTAAAGATTGTAGATCCGGATGTCCGATAAAACTGTGTGTAACGTTCGACTTTAACTTAAGCAATTTTAACGTAAATGGTACTTCGTCTAGCAGCTTGTTACGGACATTCTGTCGAGCGAGACACCCCGGTTTGACTGCTTTTTCAAATTTCTCTTCAATTTTTTCTAAATTAAAGAATCGCGGGATCTTTTGAAGATGAATTTTGAAAATAACTTACTGAAGGTTATCTCTGAGCAAAATATGAGCGATTTGCCAAAATGATCGTGGATGGATCGGAGGCAGCCAAACTTTTTTAGTGTTAAAATTTTCCAAATTAACCTCCTTTGATACTTACATAGCTTTGGTATGTCTTCCCACTTCATTCATTACATTTCCAAGACTTCGTAGAGTCAAAGCAATCTGTGGGTCATCCTTTCCTTTGTAGAACTGTTCTTTCTCTCGTAAGGCTTCTTGTAAACATATTTCTCCTTCCCACGGGCTCGCGAGGTGACTATAAATTCATAAATTAACCCATAAGACTTATGATATTGCGAGAATCTGTGCCTTTAATTCGAACCCTCAGTCGAAATGCAAAATTCTAAACTCGTGATAACGCATCCTTACTGCCTAAGCTTAAACTGACTGTCTTTCCTCTCTTCCTATGTATATCGCGATCCTCAGCAAATTTACTGACCTGACACTCCGATTAATCCCAGTAATGTCGACGCACTTTTCCACGCATAAAATTGGAAATCTTGGATCAAAAAACAAAAAGAAACTTTTCTAGACAGGGAAAGAGCTTCTGTTATGTGTTGGTATATAGCATCGGTATCCCTCACAAGTATCTCACCAGGTTTAAATGACTACTATTATGCTTTCGTTTTCGTGAACAAATGTAATCCGAGTTGTTATTCTTTGTGGAGATATTATAACAGCGACCTCTTGTGGCCGTTGAAGCTGAGGTTCAGTAACGTAGAGAAGTATAATCGTTAAAAATATTCTTTTGTGCATCGGGTCGAGTTTTTTCTTCATATTGGCATGCTCAGCATTGAATAAAACAAACAAAATAACCAGCAATAAAATTGGCCGAACAATATTGAATTTCGGTCAGGCATGAATTAATATTATTTTAAGCTTTCGCTGTCTATATGATGATTGAATTGCCTCTCAAAAACAAGTTCCTTTTTTAGACGTGAATAGTGCTTACGGTGAAGAAATTCTATTTCCGTATCAAAATGAAGCAAACTGGATTCGTAAAATTTAAAATGAAAGCACAACAACGAGCACTTTCCAAAGACATGATGTAATTATGCGAAGTATGTTCGTAAAATGAATATCTATGATAACGCAAATATGTTTGTTAAATTTGTGATTTTAATGTTGAAAACTATGCTTTAGCTGGCTGCGTGAAGAATATGTGGATTCAACTTATACCTGTTGCTGTGGGCCTCTCCCAGGAAGTGCCACACGTTAGCCAGGTCAAGTTGCACATTTTCCTCGCCTTCATAGTTCTTGAAGAGATCTAGAGCAATCTTTAGGTCCCTTCTTGCTTCTTCAGGCCTGCTAAAGATGAGCGAACCTACCCCAAGACAAGCATGTCCATTAGCCATGACGAGGGGGTCGAATTCTCCTTCTAGTTTCAAATTGTCCTTGAGCTGTAAAGAAAAAACTTTTTCTTTCAATGTAATTTACTAATTAAATGGATCATTCACTCCCACTCATCTGCATTTGGCCTTGTCCACGCAAGGCCACGCCTGATTCGATTTAAAATTAGTTTAGCAAAGATGTCCAAGCTGTGCATTTCCTACAATCGCTCCGATCGAATTTATCAGACATTAATTAGCAAAGCTGCTGGCTCATTAGAGGCCATATTGACAATTTTGTTTGAAGTTTTTAAACTATGACATCGTTGCGAACGGGAGACAACTACGAAGACGTTTGTACAATAAAATAATTTATAATTCAAATAGTACGCGCGCTCTGATTGGCCATAAAACCATTTTACATGAGCGTATGTAAACACGGTTTTCATACTGAATTTGCTCGCGGAGTTCTCCCTGCTATTTATTTAGCAGTAACTCAGTTTCTTTAAGTTTGTTTTGAGTACAGTAATGGAAGAAGAAGATTTTCCTAATTTTTCTTTGGAGTTTAATTTTCGTAGTATTCAAGAAACGGCCGAAAAGCCAAATGAACAACAAAAACAAGCACTTCGCTTTCCTTCGTTGCAAGAAGAGGCTCTTTCATTAGTTATTTTATAAAAGAAATGTAAAATGGTTTCCGTGTTTACATAGCCTGATGTAAACTCTTGGGAGGTTGGGAGAACACTCGATAAGCTGGAAACCACTCCGCTTCGCGCCTTGTTTCCTACGCTTATCGAGTGTTCTCCCAACCTCCCAAGAGTTTACATCAGGCTATGTAAACACGGAAACCATTTTACATTTCTTCAACAGTTGAACTGAACGATGGAACTTTAATTCATTTAATTTGTTCGTAGTAAAAGAGCGAGCGAAGTCTTAATTTAAGTTCTACAACAAATTTACGCTCTCGGTGAGTCTTTCCGAGTCCGTTCAATTTGGACATTTGTACAGTAAATTGCACAATAGAAACTGAAGGAGTTTAATGTGAAAAGGCCGCATTAAATCCCCGTCTGTTTCGTTGGAGTGTGCCATTCGAATTTAGTTTTTGTGGAGGAAAGACTAGTTTTACACACGCCATTGCAGCAAACGAACGAACAAACTCTCACAACTTCAAAATAAAAAAAATTGAATTTACTCACATTCACTTTCCTCGCCGTTTACTTAATGAACAGAGGTAAATCTTTGTACATGAATGAATCGTCAATGAGAGTGAATAAGACTTTCCGTTAGATCATTAACTGTTTTTGAAGAAAACATTGACGTGACAGTCCTAGCCAAACTAGTTCCGTTGTTTTTCAAATGTTCTTGCGCTTT